CACGATCTTGACTCACCACTTGTACACAATCTTGACTCACCACCATTACACGATCTTGATTCACCACCAGCACACAATCTTGACTCACCACCAGAACGCGATCTTGACATCAAAAACATCCTTAAGTACAAAAATGTAGTTTGAAAGTGTTGCCAAGTTTTACCCATTGCACTCTTTAAGTGTCTTTTTTTTGTAATAAGAAATCAAGGATGGTCACTATTTAAATTAAATAAAAAACAAATAAAAAACAAATGAGTATATACATATTTATGTGTTAATGTTGGGGCACATACATTCTGCATTAATTGTGTTACACGAAAGTACCGGTAGTAAAAACTTCTGTTAATATGTAAAAATTCTATGCTGTTTATTTTCTTTTTCAACTTTATATTTACAATTGTAATTTATGTTTTAGTTGGTAGTGTCCTTATATTTGTTACCCGGAAATCCAATTCAGAAGAACTAGCTGCCAATCTACGGACACGAGACTTTCAATGTACGTAACTTCATTTTACACTGTATATTTTGACTCTCCCAAACCATTTAATCAGTGGAGAAATTTTATAAAAGTACCGCTCGGCATAGTTTTGCATTTTGCATGAGATTTAAACATGTATATTGATAAAACAGTTGAAAAAATCTAAAAAAAATAATCAAACAGTGTATGGTTGTATAATGTGTTTTGTTATTTGATGTTTAATAGTGGGCCTCCTACATGGTGATATGGGACAGTCGGAGAGAAATGAAATCATCATGTCATTTAAACGCAAGGAGATGCCGATCCTTGTGGCCACAGATGTAGCAGGTCAGTAACCAAAATATAGACTGTCCAATTAGTTTTACGGTACTCCTACCAGGTAACTCTAACACTAAACAGACTCACTGTTAGTGGAATACTGTCTAATACTTGTAATCCTGAATTACTAATATTTATTTATTTAACCATCATAATGACTCGTAAAGATCTCAGATTTCATGTTTTTACTTAACTAAGCAAACAATTTTGTATCATAATTCATATGCCGGTTTATTTCAACTTTCTTTTACGGTAATAAATGAGAGAAAAAAATAACGAAAAAACTTTGTTTTAAGACAAAGTGATTCTTTAGATTGTTGTCCAAATTTATTGATATCTAAAAATATTTTGTTACCGATAAGTGATTGTTAATATTTCTGCTTTTTCTTACAGCACGAGGTTTAGACATTCCAGCTATCAGAACTGTGGTGAACTTTGACGTGGCCCGTGACATAGACACACATACACACAGAATAGGGCGAACAGGCCGAGCAGGTAATAGTCTCAAAACATACATACACACAGAATAGGGCGAACAGGCCGAGCAGGGAATAATCTCAAAACATACATACCCACAGAATAGGGCGAACAGGCCGAACAGGTAATAATCTCAAAACATAGATACACACAGAATAGACGGAACAGGCTGATCATGAGCAGGGTATTACAAATACACACAGCTGAGGGCGAACAGGCCGAGCAGGGAATAATCTCAAAACATACATAAAACAGAATAGGGCGAACAGGCCGGGCAGGTAATAATCTCAAAACATACACACACGCAGAAAAGGGCGAACAGGCCGAGCAGGGAATAATCTCAAAACATACATACACAAAGAATAGGGCGAACAGGCCGAACAGGTAATAATCTCAAAACATATACACACACAGAAGAGGGCAAACAGGCCGAGCAGGTAATAATCACAAAACATACATACACCCAGAATAGGGCGAACAGGCCGCGCAGGTAATAATCTCAAAACATCCCAACACACAGAATAGGGCGAACAGGCCAAACAGTTAATAATCTCAAAACATACATCCACACAGAATAGGGCCAACAGGCCAAGCAGGTAATAATCTCAAAACATAGATACACATAGAATAGACGGAACAGGCTGATCATGAGCAGGTTATCATAAATACACACAGATTAGGGCGAACAGGCCGAGCAGGAAATAATCTCAAAACATACATAAAACAGAATAGGGCGAACAGGCCGGGCAGGTAATAATCTCAAAACATCCCAACACACAGAATAGGGCGAACAGGCCAAACAGTTAATAATCTCAAAACATAGATACACACAGACTAGACGGAACAGGCTGATCATGAGCAGGTTATTACAAATACACACAGCTGAGGGCGAACAGGCCGAGCAGGGAATAATCTCAAAACATACATAAAACAGAATAGGGCGAACAGGCCAAACAGGTAATAATCTCAAAACATACATCCACACAGAATAGGGCGAACAGCCCGAGCAGGTAATAAGCTCAAAACATACATACACACAGAACAGGGCGAACAGGCCGAGCAGGAAATAATCTCAAAACATACATACCCACAGAATAGGGCGAACAGGCCAAACAGGTAATAATCTCAAAACATACATCCACACAGAATAGGGCGAACAGGCCAAACAGGTAATAATCTCAAAACCTACATATAACAGAATAGGGCGAACAGGCCAAACAGTTAATAATCTCAAAACATACATACCCACAGAATAGGGCGAACAGGCCAAACAGTTAATAATCTCAAAACATACATAAAACAGAATAGGGCGACCAGGCCGAGCAGGTAATAATCACAAAACATACATACACCCAGAATAGGGCGAACAGGCCGAGCAGGCAATAATCTCAAAACATACATATAACAGAATAGGGCGAACAGGCCAAACAGGTAATAATCTCAAAACATAGATACACACAGAATAGACGGAACAGGCTGATCATGAGCAGGTTATTACAAATACACACAGCTGAGGGCGAACAGGCCGAGCAGGTAATAATCTCAAAACATACATACACACAGAAAAGGGCGAACAGGCCGAGCAGGTAATAATCTCAAAACATCCATATAACAGAATAGGGCGAACAGGCCGAGCAGGGAATAATCTCAAAACATACATATAACAGAATAGGGCGAACAGGCCGAACAGGTAATAATCTCAAAACATAGATACACATAGAATAGACGGAACAGGCTGATCATGAGCAGGTTATCACAAATACACACAGATTAGGGCGAACAGGCCGAGCAGGTAACCGTTTTAGACACATAAATATAAAGATAGACTAAATAAGTAACATGAGTAATAATTTGTTGCCAGAGCAGTAAAAGAAATTCTGAAGAAAAGAGATTTCATAAATATTACTCTTACTGAACACAGGGACGTGTTTCCAGCTGTAAACACTCACCCTTTGCTTTCCATGATGAATTAGAACAGTTTACTATACATATCATTTCCACTGTGATGGATGATAGTTGGGTATTAAATTTATCGCTGAACAGTGAATTTTCTCTGAGTAACAGTTTCATCGTACAGTACATGATCCTACACTAGAAGATTAAGTTCTTCTGAACACACTACATTCGAAAAAAAAATTAAAAATTTGTATAAGGTCATGTATACTTGCCAACACTTGCCAACTTACCTCTGTTAGGAGAGAGACTCCTGATTTTGGACATTTAGGTTCAGTATTTCAAACCAGTGAATTTGCTAAACTATTCCAATATTCTAAGATCTAATGATCTGAAAGAACAACTCAAAATATGTCATTTTAATTATTTTTTGTCTCATTGAATACAGTTGGAAGCACGGTCCCACTACAAACAGAACACAATACATCTCCAACACACACGCAGGCATACACACATAGAGAGATATTAGCCAGGTGGCATAGGACTAGTAGTTAGCGCCTGATAAGGCAGCTCCTGTGAAGTTGGCAACGTTGGACTTTTGATGTATTACTTTGTATTTGATCTTGACTAGGTGAGAAGGGCTATGCCTACACCCTAATCACAGAGAAGGACCAGGATTTTGCTGGGCCTCTGGTGAGGAACATGGAGGTAGCTAATCAGTTTGTGCCTAAAGCATTGATGGACCTGGCACAACAGGTATGTACTGTGGGCACACCTAGACCGACTGTTTTGTCGACAAAAAGTGAATAAGTATAATCAGCTGAAATGATAGAATATCTCTATACTGAATAGATCTACTATAGACTGATGAAAAAAAATGAATCTCTATACCTAATAGATCTACTATAGACTGATGAAAAAAATTGAATCTCTATACCTAATAGATCTACTATAGAATGCTGAAATAAATTGAATCTCTATACCTAATAGATCTACTATAGACTGATGAAAAAAATTGCATCTCTATCCCTAATAGATCTACTATAGACTGATGAAAAAAATAAATCTCTATACTTAATAGATCTACTATAGACTGATGAAAAAAATTGAATCTCTATACCTAATAGATCTACTATAGACTGATGAAAAAAATTGAATCTCTATACCTAATAGATCTACTATAGAATGCTGAAATAAATTGAATCTCTATACCTAATAGATCTACTATAGAATGATGAAATAAATTGAATCTCTATACCTAATAGATCTACTATAGAATGGTGAAATAAATTGAATCTCTATACCTAATAGATCTACTATAGACTGATGAAAAAAATGAATCTCTATACTTAATAGATCTACTATAGACTGATGAAAAAAATTGAATCTCTATACCTAATAGATCTACTATAGAATGATGAAATAAATTGAATCTCTATACCTAATAGATCTACTATAGACTGATGAAATAAAATGAATCTCTATACTTAATAGATCTACTATAGAATGATGAAAAAAATTGAATCTCTATACCTAATAGATCTACTATAGACTGATGAAAAAAAATGAAAAGATACATTGCATTGTAGATTTAATGTTGATTATTATCCTACTGTCGATTCAGTCTTAATGTACAGAATAATGTATTATTTTTTAATTTTGACACTGTAAACCTTTAATAGATTAAATAGTATGTACATTTATATATAAAAGATAACTATTTTCATGTTGATTTATAATTTGTAGAATCCCTGGTTCAGTAAAAGTAGATTCAAGCAAGGAAAGGGCAAGAGACTAAACATGGGAGGAAAAGGACTAGGTTTCAAAGAGAGGCCAGGATTAGGGGCAGATTCGGTAAGTTTCTACTGTCCAAAGAGAGGCCAGGTTTAGGGGCAGATTCGGTAAGTTTCCACTGTCCAAAGAGAGGCCAGGATTAGGGGCAGAGTCAGTAAGTTTCTACTGTCCAAAGAGAGGCTAGGATTAGGGTCAGATATTGTAAGTTTCTACTGTTCAAAGAGAGGCCAGGATTAGGGTCAGATTCAGTAAGTTTCTACTGTCCAAAGAGGGGCAAGAATTAGTGGCAGATTCGGTAAGTTTCTACTGTCCAAACAGAGGCCAGGATTAGGGGCAGATTCGGTAAGTTTCTACTGTCCAAAGAGAGGCCAGGATTAGGGTCAGATTCAGTAAGTTTCTACTGTCCAAAGAGGGGCAAGAATTAGTGGCAGATTCGGTAAGTTTCTACTGTCCAAACAGAGGCCAGGATTAGGGGCAGATTCGGTAAGTTTCTACTGTCCAAAGAGAGGCCAGGATTAGGGGCAGATTCGGTAAGTTTCTACTGTCAAAAGAGAGGCCAGGATTAGGGTCAAAGACGGTAAGTTTCTGCTGTCAAAAGAGAGGCCAGGATTAGGGGCAGATTCGGTAAGTTTCTACTGTCCAAAGAGAGGCCAGGATTAGGGGCAGAATCGGTAAGTTTCTACTGTCAAAAGAGAGGCCAGGATTAGGGTCAAAGACGGTAAGTTTCTGCTGTCAAAAGAGAGGCCAGGATTAGGGGCAGATTCGGTAAGTTTCTACTGTCAATAGAGAGGCCAGGATTAGGGGCAGATTCGGTAAGTTTCTACTGCCCAAAGAGAGGCCAGGATTAGGGTCAAAGACGGTAAGTTTCTACTGTCAAAAGAGAGGCCAGGATTAGGGTCAGATTCAGTAAGTTTCTACTGTCCAAAGAGAGGCCAGAATTAGGGGCAGAGTTTTTTAGTTTCAACTATCCAAAGAGAGGCCTGGATTAGGGCCAGAATTGGTCAGTTCCTATTGTCCAAAGAGAGGCCTGGATAAGGGGCAAAGTTGGCAAGTTTCTTGCGTCCAAAGTGAGACCTGAATTAGGCTCAATCTCAGTAAGTTTCAAAGACCTTCGGTTGGTATTGTGGAATGAAATAAGCTTTTTCTTACCACAATGAGAGGAAAGTGTTACTAAATCAGTAAAAATCAATACAATTTTAAGGCCAAAAAGAGAGCCTGGGATTAGGTGAAATATGCTGAAAGACCACAAAGATAAAAGTCCGAGACAATGGAACGGTGTCACAGCCTTAATCACTTAAACTGGAGCTAATGTAAATATTGATAAGGTCATGATGGGAGTGAAATGGAGGACTTATGAATAATTATAGTCATCGTTACTGTGTCACCTGCAGAGGCCCTGACTTCATCCATTGTCACACTTCATCTCGTTTTGATTTTGAAGCGAACTAAACTTAACATCAGTCTTTTTTTTTATCTAAATAGAAATTATGTGATAGGCACATTGTTATCTCCCTTGTTCCTTTTAACAGAGTACCAGGACCCAGGACTCCACCAGTCTGGCTAGTTTCCGAGGTGTGGGATCGTCTGCTGGACCTCAAAGTGACCGTATGTCTGCCATGAAACAGGCTTTCTCTGTAAGTGACAGCAGTTTAAACAAACGTTGATATAAGATCAACATTGACCCATCCCAATGGTTTCTATTAGATAGATTATACTGTACACTTTGATGTTTACTTCGGGGATTAAGGGAAGAAGTGCATCACTCAGGGCTAGACTACTGTTATATTTTATGAGTCATAAAATTATTAGGATTCACACTGATTGGTATTACTGTTTTCCATTGTGATGGGATAAATACAATTTTAATGGACTCCACCATTAAATTATTGAAGATGTTATAATGGCCAAAGAAATGATATTTTATAATAAAACATCTGCATAAAGTATTGATTTGTTATCAAAGCTTCTTGGAATCATTTTTCATATGCAATGAGTAGGCTCAGTTCAATTAACTGTACTTTATATCCCATACCATTTTAAATTGTAGGCCCAGTTCAGATCTGTTGCTACTATAACTATATCTTGTACCTAAGTGTATAAATTGTAGGCCCAGTTCAGATCTGTTGGTACTATAACTATATCTTGTACCTAAGTGTATAAATTGTTGGCCCAGTTCAGATCTGTTGGTACTATAACTATATCTTGTACCTAAGTGTATAAATTGTTGGCCCAGTTCAGATCTGTTGGTACTATAACTATATCTTGTACCTAAGTGTATAAATTGTTGGCCCAGTTCAGATCTGTTGGTACTATAACTATATCTTGTACCTAAGTGTATAAATTGTTGGCCCAGTTCAGATCTGTTGGTACTATAACTATATCTTGTACCTAAGTGTATAAATTGTTGGCCCAGTTCAGATCTGTTGGTACTATAACTATATCTTGTACCTAAGTGTATAAATTGTTGGCCCAGTTCAGATCTGTTGGTACTATAACTATATCTTGTACCTAAGTGTATAAATTGTTGGCCCAGTTCAGATCTGTTGGTACTATAACTATATCTTGTACCTAAGTGTATAAATTGTTGGCCCAGTTCAGATCTGTTGGTACTATAACTATATCTTGTACCTAAGTGTATAAATTGTTGGCCCAGTTCAGATCTGTTGGTACTATAACTATATCTTGTACCTAAGTGTATAAATTGTTGGCCCAGTTCAGATCTGTTGGTACTATAACTATATCTTGTACCTAAGTGTATAAATTGTTGGCCCAGTTCAGATCTGTTGGTACTATAACTATATCTTGTACCTAAGTGTATAAATTGTTGGCCCAGTTCAGATCTGTTGGTACTATAACTATATCTTGTACCTAAGTGTATAAATTGTTGGCCCAGTTCAGATCTGTTGGTACTATAACTATATCTTGTACCTAAGTGTATAAATTGTTGGCCCAGTTCAGATCTGTTGGTACTATAACTATATCTTGTACCTAAGTGTATAAATTGTTGGCCCAGTTCAGATCTGTTGGTACTATAACTATATCTTGTACCTAAGTGTATAAATTGTTGGCCCAGTTCAGATCTGTTGGTACTATAACTATATCTTGTACCTAAGTGTATAAATTGTTGGCCCAGTTCAGATCTGTTGGTACTATAACTATATCTTGTACCTAAGTGTATAAATTGTTGGCCCAGTTCAGATCTGTTGGTACTATAACTATATCTTGTACCTAAGTGTATAAATTGTAGGCCCAGTTCAGATTTGTTGGTACTATAACTATTCCGTCTTTGCGTATTGCAGAGTTATCTTCTCTTGGGAGCAGGTATTGATTGTTACGTCACTTGTGTGTGAGAGTAACGTCATCAATTTTTGAGAAAACGACGTAAATTTCTCACACAGATCAATGACGTAACAATCAATACCTGCTTCCAAGAGAAGATAACTCTGCAATACACATAGACGGAATATCTTGTACCTAAGTGTATAAATTGTGGGCCCAGTTCAGATCCACCTGATATGTATTTTTACCTATTGACTTGTAGGCTCAGTTTAAGTCCAACTTTGTGGCAGCTGCTGAAACTATTGAACCACAGAAGACTGGTCATATCCTTGAACCAATTAATGCGACTCGCAATCCTCCTCCTGCTTCACCCCCGGAGTCTTCAGGGGAATCCAACAACAAACGCAAAAAACGGTCACGTTGGGACTGATACTCAAAAGAACGGTCATGCTGGGATGGATGAACTAAGGACTGGAGATGACAATCAATGTGCTGCGTGATAATGTCACAAAGTTCATTATCTGACAGGTGGGATCTGGTATGCATGAGGTTCATGGGCTTGCCTAGCCATCAATTAAAAAATGTCTGACAATCGGCAAGGTCAGTTCCTTCTCTGCAAGATGTTGTGGCAGCATATCGTGGTCTCCGGCTATCGGACCCTCCAGTGTGAGTTATTGTTAGCAGAGGTTGGTAAGAGTGACCTTAGCTGTGAAATGAGGAGAAGAAATTTGGATCTGTACTGTAGAGTGTTTCGTGCATTATTACACATTACATGATAATGAAAACACAAAAATCTAAGTATTTAATGTCACAGTCACATTGTGTCAGAGGCAGATTTGATTGAATTGTGTTGAAGAAAGCCATAATCTCCAGAACTGGAATCCCGTACTGTGTCTTACAAAAGGAACATTGCTCCTGAGATTCTGTACATGGAAGAGATGGGAGTTTATGTACCATTTGATCTCACTTCATTCTAGACTTTACAATAGAAGCTGTAGTGTGCTGTCGATATTAATGGATTAACTGAAATATACAATATAGTGCTTCAAGTATTGTGTAGAAATCTCAAGGTCTGAGAAACTGAGAATATATCTGAAAAGGTATGATAGAAAGTTACTTCAGACTATTGAATATTCATTGTAGTAGAATTGAATCACAACTCAGAATCGTGAAAATATGGCATGGATACAGATAGTTTATTCAATATATATTTCCTCAAAAATTAAAATGAAAACAAGATTGTATTTTATTTTTTTATCCGAAATTCCTTTGATGAATCCAGGTGCCATTCAACTGAGATATAGTTCATGTTGTTAAGTTACAGTAGAATTGAGTAAAAAGCTTGTGTTGACACACATCATCTTGGGCATTAAAGTTAAAGGGAGACACGTCAAGGTGTGTAAACACTTCCAATTCATTGTCATAGCTTACTATTAGATAGTTTGTATATATGTTTAAATCTTTATGGCAACTCACATCAGATTTGGCGTCTTATCTAAAGAGAGATATGTCAAAATGTCTGTGGTGATCACTCAAAGTCTGTTACTACTGTATAGCGCATCATTAATTAAATTTAAATCACTGCCTCCGCTAGGGATCGAACCCGGGACCTCTGGCTTACTAGTCTTACGCTCAACCAATCGAACTAAAGAGAAGTTCTAGCCGAGCGATATATTGTGGCTAGTATTTACCAGGGTTACACACTCCCATTCAAGGAAAGAACTCGTCCTCAAGTTTTCCAAGGGTAACAGCGATGCTTGTGGACCAAGGCCGAGTATTGTCTCCCGGATCCCTACGTGGGCGCAAATGTAACGGAGCGCATGATTTATTAAATTTAAATCACTGCCTCCGCTAGGGATCAAACCCTGGACCTCTGGCTTACAAGTCTTAGGCTCAACCAATCGAGCTAAAGAGAAGTTCTCTCTAGCCAAGCGATATATTGCGGCTAGTATTTACCAGGGTTACACTACCGCCAAGATGTCATTACTGCAGTGAACTAGAATGTTTATGTGTTCAAATATGATTGTGGCAGTGCCCAAACATACTATATAGTCCTCTATTTGACTGCCATTTTATTCAGTGTTAGATGATAGCAGGTAAGTGTGAGCTCTGTAGTCTGCGTTGAAAAGAAATCTTAACGATGTGTGCAATATAAGTTGCATCAGACTTAATATTTTTTCTCATAAATACATGTATAAAAATGTATATTGTGTGTAGATTTCACTTATCTATACTTGCTCAGTAAAGATTGATAGCCCATATTATGAACATTTTCAGACCAATAGTACTTGAGTTTTTGTCTACCTGTGAGAAATCTGAAATGATTTTGATCATGTCTTCCCTGGTAATAGCATTCAGACAGTATGAGCGTAGTGATTGTTAACCCTTTCACCACTGTAGACCATGATGGACTCATCCAGATCAATGCATGGTAGAGCTACTAAAGTCACATAGGGGTGAAAGGGTTAAGGAGAGAACAACGCCAGGGTACGTCACTGTGGGTTACCAATAACTATATGTTTTACTGTATGTGTAAAACAGTCAATGTCGCACATTTCTCCAGGAGTCGATGATTTAACAGATTTGTCTATCTGTAGAAGGCCATCCTCTGTCCGTTTTTTGTTTTGGTAGTTTAACTTTGAGGTTGGATTAGTATCTGTTGCTGTTATCAGAGTATTGAAGCAGAGCAGTGATGATGATTTGGTTTGTTTGGTTTGTTAGAGTTTTACATCCTATTAACCTGTCATGTAAGGATGTACCAGGTGGTGGTGGTGGATGAAAACCGCAGTACCAAGAGAAAAACCACCGACCAGTGGCTCGTTGGTCCTGGCTGGGGTTGTGTATTGTATAGAGTGGGGGTGAGGATGTGTTTAATGTCTCGTTGGTCCTGGCTAGGGTTGTGTATTGTATAGAGTGGTGGTGAGGATGTTTTATGTCTCGTTAGTCCTACCCAGGGTTGTGTTGTATTCCCGTCTAATCTGTTGTAAGAAAGAATGTCCCATTGTTTGTTGACGTGTAGGATATGTTAGTTCTGTTATAGCATTGAAACAGCATTTATTAGAGAAAGAAATATTGTGCATGATTGTTTTCATTTGTATTTTTGCTATTATTTTGTATTTTGCCAAATCAGCAAAGGTTAGAACCTCTACAGACAAGTGAGGTTTTGTAGAGTAGAGTTCACCATATCTCTCATTGATTAATTTATATATCCTCAGTAATTATAACAGAGATAATTAAAAACAATTTGTTTCCAAAACCTGTTATTGTTCAGATTCTGAACTACATTTCACTGACACCTATTTCAGGCACCAAACCTTTTTTGGTTCAAGTTTAATGAGCAATGATACTTATTTCATCACTTGTTTATAAGGAATGAAGGGTAAATCTTCCATAGAATTTAAGAGCAGTGACAACGGACACATTCTAATGTAATATAAATGTGTGTGAAATAGTGACAACGGACCTATTCTAATTGAATGTAAATGTGTGTGAAATGCACAACACTTCATTACCACATACATTAGAATGGAAAATATGCACTTGATTTCGTGAAATGACTGAAATAATGATATAGTGTTATATATGTAGTCCTCTTGTCTTCAAAGGATAACAAGACAGGCTCGATTGTTTGGAAAATATGTTTATTCTCGTAGGAAAAAGCTATAATGGTCGAAACAGATACAATGAATACATTTGATAACACATTGACTGGCACTTACATACATCGACATGAATACAAAGACGCGAGTATATGAGACAGTGAGTTACAAATGTACAATGACAATGTGAACATTACAGACAGACTTACCAGGCTGATCTGGAGGGATGTTGACTCATACGAGTCCTGGAGAGGAATGGCTGGAGAGAGTTGGGTGGGGACGTGACCGGAACTCTTGTTTGTCCGCGCATTCTGTTCATACTAACTGCTCACCTCATTAAACCAATCACATGCACACAAATACATACTGACATGTACTTACTAATGTAAGAATGAGAATGTTAGGCACGTGATAGATGATGTGTTCCTGCATTGAATCTGGTACACATGGAGTACAAGGTTACATGGGTTACTTATATGGATCTTAATGCTGTTTCTCATTGTACATTGTAGTACTATACAACACATACTAGTGTAAACTGTTGTTGTAGTACTATACAACATGTACTAGTGTAAACTGTTGTAGTACTATACAACATGTATAAGTGTAAACTGTTGTTGTAGTACTATACAACACGTACTAGTGTAAACTGTTGTTGTAGTACTATACAATGCGTACTAGTGTAAACTGTTGCAGTACTATACAACACGGACTAGTGTAAACTGTTGTTGTAGTACTATACAATGCCTACTAGTGTAAACTGTTTTTGTAGTACTATACAACACGTACTAGTGTAAACTGTTGTATGGTTAGGATTGTATTGTAGACAATGAACTGTGATCTGGTCAGGATATCTCATGATCTGGGCAAACTATCTTGTGATTTAGAAAAGATGTCTATGGTCCAGACATGGTATCTTTTTGTCTGGATGAAAGGATAAAATATGTGTTTAGTCTGTAATACATATTCTTATCTGAACAAGAGGTTTCATTGTCTGGGTAAAGTATTTTTATGGTCTGGCTTAGATAAATGTATGTCTTTTAGATACAATATACTTTGGTTAAGACATATTATGTTAATTTATTTGTGGCGTTATATCACTATCACAGTAATTTAATCAAAGTCATGTTTAAAGGAGACTTACAATTTATATTATAACTTTTACCTGCACCATGTGAGTTATAAACAGTTAAATCATGATACTGTGTGATAGATTTGATAGAGTAATACATGGTCCTACTGGACACAAACTTAGGGACAGATTCCCTGTGAATGCTTGACAACAGTGCGGTTAACAAACAGCTTAACATAAAAACATCTGATTTATTTTCATGGCATCGATAAGAAATATTTTTGTCATGAATTTTTGTAAGGCTGCTGTATTATGAAGATCGCCTGTTAACTTGGTCTCAAATTATAATCACAATGGCATTGTAAACTGTTTTTCAATACACCAACTACTCAAACTTGTGTGTACAGAGGAACACTGGACACTTTGGTTTGTGTGTATAGTGGAACCTTGTTAGTCTGGACACTTTGGTTTGTGTGTATAGTGGAACCTTGTTAGTCTGAACACTTTGGCTTGTGTGTATAGTGGAACCTTGTTAGTCTGGACACTTTGGTTTGTGTGTATAGTGAAACCTTGTTAGTCTGGACACTTTGGTTTGTGTGTATAGTGGAACCTTGTTAGTCTGGACATATAGGTTTGTGTATATAGTGGAACCTTGTTAGTCTGGACACTTTGGTTTGTGTGTACAGTAGGACCTAGTTAGTAAGTCTGGACATTTCTGTAATATGAACATATTATTTTTTCTTATACCTTGGTAGTTAAGTAGACATTTATAATCAGTCGAAGTTTGGGTTTTGTTCATCATCTTCAAGATAATTATAATGAAGGTTACAAACTTTCTGTCTTCAAATCTCCAGCTGAACTAACATTGGATAAAGTAATTAGTAATTCATTGTTTGTCCTACGTTATAAATACTTATAAATATTCATTATTGTACTGTTAATCTGTAATTTTATCTAAGGAATTTCCAGAAAAAAAGGTCTCCTTGAATTCTCTGAAATTCCCTCAAATATAGACTGATGGGAGAATTTCCTGAAAAGGTTTGGGGAATGCCTGTAAATTAGGTATAGTTGTATTCCCTGAAATTAGGTGTACCAGTTAAGGAATTCCCAAAGATAAGGTCTGGGGAACTCCCTTAATTAGGTCTAAAGGAATTCCCTAAGATAAGGTCTGGGGAACTCCCTTAATTAGGTCTAAAGGAATTTCCTAACATAAGGTCTGGGGAACTCCCTTAATTAGGTCTAAAGGAATTCCCAAGGATAAGGTCTGGGGAACTCTCTTAACTAGGTCTAAAGGAATTCCCTAAGATAAGGTCTGGGGAACTCCCTTAATTAGGTCTAAAGGAATTCCCAAAGATAAGGTCTGGGGAACTCTCTTAATTAGGTCTAAAGGAATTCCCTAAGATAAGGTCTTGGGAACTCTTAATTAGGTCTAAAGGAATTCAATTAAATCAGGTCTAAAAGATTTCCATGTTATTATTTCTGAGGGTTTTCTCAGAAATTAGGTCCACGAGAATTCCCAAAGATTAGGTCAGGAGGAATTCCATAATCATGGAGGAAAACAGTATTGTTAAAAGTATTCAAAATGTTGATAACACTGTTCTCTATATTTAGATAAGGATGATAAATGAATGTTTAATTTGTATTTATCAAACCAAGTTGAAAAAGAAATATTGAGGATATTAAAATAACCACAACCATTGCGAGACATTGGAAATAATTATATTAATAAAATGTATAAAAACCTAAATTGTTGCGATTTTCCTTTTTTTAGGCCATCAAAATTATGACAGGACATCTATGGTATTGGGATAGTCTGTTTGTTTGCCCTATTATGCATCCATCAGCACTTTATGTTTTTGTAAGATAACCTGCTTAAATAGCATTTTAATTTGTTGAAATTAGTAGGCATGTACAATATATAAAGACCTAGACTAAATTAAAACAAAATCTGTTCACAAGTTACATGTATTAGTATCCTGCACTGATGATTTATCAATAATTTTCAAACAATTACTTAAATCAAACATGAACAGATTTTGTACCAACTCGTTAAACATTTATACTATACAAAGATAGGTGTTATGATTATGTGTAAAGGTAGGCAATACCCATGAAACTACTTACCAGTAGTTTTATTATGGTTTTAAATATAGGCCAAGGGAGGCTATCCCTTTACAATGAAATGTGTGTATTCAAATCTTCATGCTAAGCAATTATGTGGTAAAGGGTCCCAACTGTTTCTATGTTCTGACCCAGAGGCTAAGTCCCCAAGGGTGGGGGCAGACCCCAAGGCTTATTCTGGTACCATAATTGTGTTTATCTGTTCATGCCCAAAATAGGATATCTGATTAAGGGTTTGGACCATTTCAATGTTATGACCTAGCGATTAAGCTACTTGGGGAGAAGCAAATACTGGTAGCTATTCTTCTCTTCAAACTTTCCAATTTAATACTGGTATATAATTATAGGGTGGGGATCTGATTATGATCCAGGGACTAAGTTTCCATGGGCAGGACAGATCCCGACGCCAATCTTGGTAGCATATTCTGTATTCGAACTTCCATACACAGCAATTGTGGTGTGGGGATCTTAACCGTTTCCAAAGTGTGACTTTGAAAATAAGTAGGGGTGTGGCCAGACCCTTTAGTCAATTCCATTATCACGATTTTGTTAGTTTCTGTATGCTCAGCAATTGTATATGTAGTTACAGGGTTGGGATTTAAACCTTTTTCATGTTGTGAACAAAGAATCAAGGCCCTAGGGGTGTGGCCAGACCCCAGGGCTAATTACAATATCATGATTATTCATCTCTATGCCCAGTACTGTATATATGGTTATGGAATGGGGATCTCATATGTTTGTGACACGGGGACCAAACTTTCAGGGGAGAGGCTAGATGTTTCTGTATACTCATCATTTGTCTATACGTATCGACCCCACCCTGCAGTCCCCTTTAGATCAGGTGAGCTAACAAAATTAACCCAATTTACCTCACAAAAATAGACAGCTTCACAGTACATTGTATTTACCTCTCTAGTAATCTGATGCTATGAACCATATATTGTTTTGAATGCCTTGTTACCAAGTTTATCCAAATTCTAAAAATATTTAAAATACAGGGCTGTAATTATACATATATCATCACATATAACAAAGTTGAAAATTATTTTCATTTTATCTTTATTCCAGATAAAGCAGTTTTGGTACTCACAACCATCTTACAACAAAAAAACACACAGACAAAACAAGGCGGAACACAGCCAACATTATAAAATAAAAGTGTCTCTAGGTGATACATACAGCAGGCAGCATCACAGCCAGGGTTGGTCCTATTGCAGGCCAAGTACATGTACTGCTTTATAGTACTCTAGTAACAATGTTTATACATTATATAGGCTAGCAGTATGAAACAGGTCAGCTATTAATTGTCCAGGTCAGTCCCAATCAAGCCCCATGATAAGCTGACACGACAGGGATAAGGCCAACAAACTTAATTAAATCACCATCATATAATTACCCTTTCTATTGAAGTGTTTTAATACATTGAAACTTGATATCTTCCTGACAAAGAAGTGTACTCTGTATAATTTCTTCTAGTAATTAAAACTCACTAACTTATGCAGTAGATTAAGGCACAAGATTATCTTTCCCCTAGTTACACTTAATTTCAGTCGGTGATGGACACAGCAATCTGTTCTAAACAAACTATCTTTTGTTTGAATTGTTATCAATCATCAAAATTTAGGTTGCTCAAACTTCAAAGTGAAATTTTTGCAAAATTATTATGTGTTAAATAACATTTTATGTGAACAATTTTGAATCCTTTACAGTTTTACAGTGAACTTCTATATCTTTGACAATATATACCAGATGTGAGATGGCTGAATCCTCAACAGGTCCAGTTGTTTTGTCACTAACTCTGGGACAAACAGGGAAGGG